TTTTCCTGTAAAAGAGCAGTTCAAGATATTTTTTTCTCAATATATTTCGCGGCAGGATATTTTTTTTTTGCCCCTCATAATAACTGCTTACAGTAACTTAAGGCTTTCATATAGCTATCGTCAGAGACGTAGCCGGGGTTTTCAGTCAGAGGAGGCCGAGCCTGAATGCCAAGAGGGGCCAAGGAATTTTCACTGTGCTTTATTTTATATTGTTATGTCTTTATGTTCCCCACACTAAAACGTGCAGGTTCACTTACAAAAAAATGCATAACTGCACCAAAACCTAAAGCATGCAGCGATAGAGTAGAGTACTCGAAAATGGGGGAGGTACAGTATATGAATGACCTGTAACCTTGGGGCGTTCGGAGGCATGCTCCCCGAAAAAAATTTAAAATTTAAACCTCGGAATTGCTATTTCATGCGTTTTCAGCCATGGATTCGTGCAACAACTTTGCTGTGCTAAGCCTAAGGAACACTTACTGTCTTTTATTTTAAACAAGGGAAAATCACAAAATGAGCTATGATTAATATGTAATTAATAAAACAAGATTTCAATAATGCGATTTTTAACTGCCCACCGAAACAACAATATTCCACCAAATATAGCTCTGTAGCTTTTCAATCGTTCATACAAATAGCTTGTTGGGGATCGGGTCGTATCCTCTTTAGAAACTTTTTAAAATCTATAGACTCCCTAAACCGGCATTTTTGCATTAAAATCATCGTATATACAGTACGTTCAACTTGCATCCTGTAGATGGGCCTTTAAAGCTTTTAATAATAGTTTGGAGCTATGTTATCGAAAAACGCATACAGACTCAACCATCCAAAAATACTTTTTATACCATGCATATTAGATATGTATAAATAACTTCTACATATCTTAACTGAGCCCATATTTTCTCAGGGGGGCAACAATTTTGCTAGAGAACGCCACTGGCTATCGTATGTTATAAGCTCCAAAGGCGGTAGAATCCTTGTGATGTTATCCACTGTTCACCCCGTGTTCTTTTAAGCAAATGTGCCTGCTCAAAAATGCAAAATCTTGCAAGCCTGTGGACACAATACTGAAGTGAAGAACGTCAGTAGATTTTCATGTAGAAAATTGTTTTTGAGCGCTATCTTTTGCATGATTTTTTTTTCTCCTTGGATTGCAGGAAAAATTTTTTTTTCGAAATCTT